GTAGGCATGTTGCTCTAAGGTTCGCAACATGTATACAAAGAGAAGTTTAATATATTTCCCATGAAAAAGGCAAGTGACAGGATATTTTTCAACATGGTATTAGGATATTTCTAGCAACTTGTTTAACAACTTGTAAGCGTCCTGGCAACACATATAGAAGCAAAACAAATACATAGACATTGACGTATTCACGCGCATAGTTGTCGGCTTGCTGCGTTGTTTTGGGAGTAAAGAATTCTTTACACATTTGCCAGAGATTGTTCAAGCCGTAAATAACACATAGCACAATTTGCGATTGTTATAAAATGCGATCATTAGATAGATAGACAGACATTAACTTTACGAAAAGGGGAAAAATGCAAAAGAAAAAAAACCGCAAGAAAACCTCAAAAATCGCCTTGCAGCGCAAGCAATTTGTTTGTGGATTAGAGTAAAAACAACTAACGTAAACCATTCAATGAAATATTTTTAAATATATATATTTAGTCTCACGACAAGAGTATCCATTGATGTTCATCACAAAGTGTTTAGTTAACTCTGAGCATTTTAATCGTTTGGGAGAAACTAAATAATAATAGTTTTTTGATATTTCTTCACAACTGTTATAAAAACTTAATAACTCTTTGTTTATCTGTTAGTGTCTGCGTTGTTATCACATTTTTAGTTACATATATAAGGCAGGAAGTCCAACTAAAGTTATATATGTGCTATGTATGTACTTTATTTATGCATTTAGCTGACCATTAACGATTTTCAACTGTATGAGCGCGTACGCGTACGCGTGTGTACTTGTATGCAGTTAAGACCCTAAGTCGCACTTGTGTTTTATCAGGACATGAGCGAAAAAATGCGTTTTCCCCGAAGGGAGAAGATTCATCATAAATTCATAATGATCTTTTGCGCAAGTTTCCCTCAGATCATTCAATATAACTCGAAGTGGATTTTATAAATATTTATATTTCTGGTTATTTTGACCTGGAAAATAATGTAATAAAGCAGGTTGGAAACTTGTTTCTTTATACATATCATTGAATGTTCGCATATTTGGACTCGTAAATTTGTGTAAGTGCATAATATTGTGCATATGACTGCTCTCCACTATTGTGGTGGCTGTGGATGCTTTGCAAACAAAAAAAAAAATAAAAAATAGTATGTCTGTCTTTCGAGAAAATTGCGTAAGAGATTTATTTAGTGGGTATGTAGTGTATGTGTACATGTTAAATGCGCATGTACGTGTAGTGCTTTTTGGCGGTATCGTTCAATTCATTTATGAAAACTGCACTTGCATGTACTACATATTTGTTTATGCGTGTGTCTTTGTGTGTGTGTGCATTTGTATGCGCGCATATACCTGAATACCAATAAATTTGCTAAACTCCAATCTTAAGTAATTTTTGCCTATACATACATAGCGAGGAATTTCATATTGTCCGACCGACTGGCTGTGCCAGTTGTGTTTTTGCTCCGCACTATTATCACTTTTACGCGTCAATATATATTGAAAAGTCGTCTTTTATGCAACAACAAATTGGATGTGTTATGACAAATGAAAGCAACGAAATTTTCCATTTTATTGCTTTTTCGCAAGTTTACGCGATCCTGTTATCAAATACATTTTAATATACAAGTTTTGTTATTCTTTCTTTGCTTTTTCACAATACGTGCCGTGCCAATGCAGCCTATTAATGACATCTCTTTTGAAATGAATTTCATAATAGTTTCGGATAGGTTTTCTTTTAAAGATAACTGCGATTCTTCTCAATCGTTACATCGTTCCATAAACAGCAATGGCTCAACTTTAATTCAAGTTATGTGTTTTCACTCTTACCTTGCTTGAGGTTGGGACTTATAAATGATTTTTTGGAAAAAAGAAATTTTTTTCCTCTTCTTAATCATTACAACAAGTACAAACACTAAATGAATGCATGCGGATATCTGTCACAAGGGCAATACTAAGTAAAATTTCATGTTAGTATATGATGTTAAGTAATTCAAATTGAAGCACAGACGTCTACCGTCCCATACATATTTGGAGGGGAAAATCCAAGAATAACAAGACGCCTTCGTACACACACTGTAGGTGTAAGTTTGCATATTTTCGCTTATCTCCAGTTTGAAATTCTTAAGGTAACTAAAAGTATGAATTAAATGTAAATGAAAAAATTCCACACTTTTTGTGAGGTATAATTTAAAAAAAATTAATTCATATATTCATAATTTATTAGGTTTTACTTGAAAAATCCGTACAATGTGTGTGAAATTGTTATTCTGTGTTAATGTTACGCGTCTGTTACTTTATGCAGCAAAATGCCTTAAACAAATGAGAAAGTGACACTTCCCATAGTGCGAGTTTTGTATACCACATAGGTGTATAAGTTCGTTTGGCTTTTGGCTAGAAAAATAGTTTAGGACTCTCTCTGGAGACACACGTATACCTGGACAACATTGAATTTCATTACGCATAATTTCATATTTCTCATCCAGTCACTACACTGATTATTGTCAGTAAAGGCTTTGTACTAAAAAATGCTACGAGAAATAATCAATAAAATGCGCAGTCCGCAGTTTCATCGTGGGACTTTCAATAGGAAGATATATCGCCTTTGATGTTCCCTAAAAACGTTTAATGACATTCACTCGTTCCTTCCTCGCTATTCAAGGAACGATAAACGTTGTTCGTCGCGCCATTGCACCATTGGCAGGACTTACTGATTGACTTAATAAGTTCTTGGGAACAAACTGGCTTTGACGGAAAAAAAAAACACTTTTGCTTCAACAGACAAGTATACGCGTATGACTAGAGCATTTTCCTTCTTGATGTAGAGCTATAAAAAGTGCACTTCGAAGTGCTTCTGTACACCAATGGATAGTTAACTTGCCGCAAAGCGTGCGCTTTGACTACGAAAAACTCTTGAATGCAATGCAATGAATGAAAGCGAAACATTCTTATTTTAATTTTGTAGGGGAGTAGGAAGACGAGAGAGGGAAGACTTTGAAAATTAATAAACTGACTTAATTAGCCAATTATTGTGTAGTTACGACAAAAGGGACTTTTCTGCCCATTTTCAGAATTTTCTTACGCCAGATCAAGAATGGATTTATGGTTTCGCGATATCCACTAAACTCGATAGCTATGGATCGTCGACTGGCTGTATGTGTGGAAGCATGCATTTTTCGTACTATGGGATGAGAGATGTTTAGATCGTAAAATTGGTATCTAGTACCATATTGATATTACGAACAAGTTTACCCAATAGCGAGAATAACAAACCGGTCTTTCGACTTAAACTTACAAAGCATTACTTAACTTAATGTTGAACGTGTCAGATGGTCGATCGGACTTTGTAAGAAATATTCAAATCACTCGTGAGTTCAGATCCTGTAGGTTTTTAGTGGTATTTGCTATTTAGCAGGATCGACGTGCCTCTATTTTCAATAAATTTTTCCGATGACAGAAAAGTGGGCGACAATATGTATTTTGAAATTTGTAACTTTTTTTTTGCTCCTTCATTTTCAGTGATTTCATTGATGATTTTGTTGTACACATAAACGCACATAAATTGTAAATTTAGCTTTGATCCGGAAATATATTCAATTTGCGTTCAATATCATCTTTCCATTTCAATTCTTCAATAGCAGTTATCGGATATAATATAAACTGCTTCGAATTACTTTAAGTGTCGTTAGCAGACACAATTTGCAAAGGAAACTTACTCGGCATTTAACCTTTCAACGATATCTGAGCAAAGTTAAGCACTCTTTTGTTTTATCCACAACAGAATGCGGAACCAATCAGAATATGAATATGAATATTAAATTAAATCCTCTCCTTCAATACACAGGTGGTTGTGAGCCAAACTTTCATCATTTTTGAAATATCGTTCAACAAAGAAAATGCGTTGCTTTCTCGTGTATTTCTCAGTTCTTATTAAGACTAAACTGTCAGCCGTCAAATTGCTCTCTTCGTGTTACCAACACTTTACCGCATAAATGGTAGCATTTTCCAACTTTCCTTGACTGTTGGAACCCGCTATATTAGCAAAGGGATATATCATTTCTTCAAAAGAGAGCAAAAAGCGTTCGCAATAGATAGACGGAACTCGAATTATTAATCCAAATAACTTTAATTTATTGAGAGACTTTCTTAATAAATACATAATCGAAAGAACATTTTATAATCTTTTCGTTTTGTGTTTCCACGATATGAACAGTAGACGTATCTTTACATAAAGCTTATTGCAATACTATTATAAATCTGAATCTGATCAAATGTATTGGAAAAAATATATGGTCTTCAAATATATTAAAAGTCGCATTCAAAGAACCATTTTATACGATAGCATTAAGTTAATTAATTTGTGATGCTTGCAACTATTAAGCGTTACATGGGCATAGCGGTATTTTCTATTCTATTATTTTTGGCACTTTTGCAATAAAAACAAATAAAGAAATGTGGAAAGAAAAGTGTGCTTGCCGCGTCCTGTTGACTTACTTTTATTAAGTACTAAACTAATGAATTTTCGAATGCATAACATATGACGGTTTTTAAATACTTTTACTTAGCTAATGAATGCGGAAAGTCATTTGACATATTTTTTAATACTATTGCTCTTATTGGATAGTTTGTGATAATGGACACAGTATGTCGAACTTTGTCCCATAAAATGTTTGTCTTCGATTCCTCTCGATTCGGTCTCCGAAATTACAATGGCTACGCTTGAATATAATTCATTTAAACTAAAATATATATATATATATATATATGGAGTGAAGAAGATTCTGAAGTAATATACAATAAATGTTTTTTTGCTTTTTTTTCGTTTTTAATTTATATCAATATTCCTTTAAAAAAACCTAATAAGGCACATATGCTTATTTACGTTTGTGTTTACATTTATATACGAATTTCTTTAATAATAACTTTAACTGATTTTAAAATATATCATTACAAATATATTATACGTATACATATATAAATACATATATGCATATATGTGTGTGTATATACATATACTATCTATTTATTTATTTACTTTATTTACTTATATTTTGGAATAGAAAAGTTTTAATCCTTTTCTCAGTTTCATTTAAATACACATATGATTAAATCAATATTTTTGACCAGAATCGGTGTCTAATATAAACATATATATATACGTATGTATTGGATTACATCTTCGGCCAGTATAACTTGTATAAATTTATTGAACAATTCTCAAGTTCACACAATTGATTGGTATATAGCTCATGACAAAACAATAGCATTTTTTCTTTGAATAACAAATTTTTTATTCGTAAGAAGAGGTTATTAAGGTCATAACTCAAAGTAGCTTAGTACTTTAGTTAGGAAAATTATTGCACTCTTAGTACAATGATTTCGAACATCGTAAATAGCGTTCGGCAACATTCGTCCAGATTCGCGTCGATTAAATGCAGCTGCCATATAGTTAATAGCTCTAAAATTAGGGAATGCATTCACACTTTCGCAAAGAAGCCCTCATCTTGCAAGAATTCAATAAAACAGCCATAATAATTCTTTTGGGCAATAAACTGCAGTTCCGGAAATTCAACCATGCGGAAAAAACATTGTCAGAGAATCACAAATCAAACATCGGTGCAATTCTCAAATGCTTCCTTTAAATAAAGCAAATCATAAAAGGCTAAATGCGGTTCCTTTAAAGAAAATTTCGATTGTCTTGTCATCAACTGTACATGCAGGAGGAAGAGAGAATTTAAAAATGCGGAGAAAGACTAAGTTGTTAAGACTTATTACTCATTGATAAAAAAAGAACTATACAGCAGTTGTATGATAATAATATTGTTCGTCAGTTCGTCGTGTAGCACATGTATTTAACAGATTAATACGTTGTTTTTCAACATTTTTCCATTTACATTCACTCTAAGTATTTTTGCACTCAAGTTCGTTCGCGGTGGAAAAAGTTCACGCTTTCCTTTCTTGATAACTTCAACTTACAAGATAAAGATTAAGAACGTTTTCCCTAGCATTCAGTTAAATTTTAATCAGTTATTTATTACGCCGAAATTTCTCAATATTCAATCTTCATTAGGAATTAAATTTTTTGTGAAATTGTTACTCATCTTAGTCCTAATCAGTTGAGTGACCGAGAAACACGATATTGTCACCGATTTCGTTCAAGGAATATTCACTGAAAATATAATTAGAAAACCAAATAGCGGTAAGCCTTAAAAGGCAATGAACAGTTAATTAATTTGTACTCGGCCGAAAAGTAATTGTTAACGAATAATTAATGTCCCAGTGGTACTCCGTACTAAGTAATACGAGCGTAACTTTGTTTAACATACGTATTGGTGACTACGATAAACTTACTATGTTATGTCAGAGACCAAATGGTTACTTCACACCGATATCTTCCGAAGGTTGCAAAGATTGCCACGGGCAATATTTAACCCAAACATTTGAAATCTCAGGATGGAAAAATAAATTTAAAAACGAAAAGTTCTACAGTGTCGAGCAAACTACTTTTCCTCAAAGTTACGGTTTTTTGGACTTTGTATGGCCAACTTGACACTCGGTTGCAGTCAGCAGTTTATACTATCGTTCGTGTCTCTTGTCGTCATTCTTTTCTTTTAGAATGAAGTATTTACTCATTAGTGTTTAATTTCGTTTATCTACTATCAGTGCGTGTATAACATTTATCTTCTTGGTTTGCCAAAATTATTTGACGGGCCATTTCCATAGATAGCAGCAGCTATTACTGCTGCTGATCCGCCATTCCCATAAATGGCACCATTCCCATTCATTAACTTTGTGTGTTTGTGCTGTTGCATTGATGATGCTGCTGCGGCGCCCATTGCACGTTGGTGTTCTTCAGGACCGTCATTCAAGTCGAGTCCAGCTATCATTTGGGCGATCTCTCGTTCTTTTTTCATATCAGGTGGATTAAATTGTAGACTAGCTAGAGAACCGTGAGAACGAGAACGGTGCTCTTGACGAATAGAATAGCTGAAAGCTCGCTCGTTTAGGTGACCTTTGCGCCGATAAATACCGGTACCACCTGGAGATTCAGCACCCGAGTTGCCAGAATCATCCAAACCGTTGCCCATAGAGGCGGCCAGCTTTCGATTTGACATCGAAAGCGGTCGTGGCTCGCCTATTAATGATTGCGCTACTGGGGGTGGAGGGGTGGGACCGCCCATCGCCTGAACTTGATGATAGGTATAAAGCGGTGGCACGATTGGCATACCAACTGGTATGCCGGTAGTTTTCTTGTCTTTCTTCTTCTTTTTCATAGAACTGGATGGCTGCAATGTGGCATATTGTTGCGACATGACAACGGGCACATGCATTGGCATACCAATATGTGGGGGTGGATGAATCATTTGCGGATGTAAGGGTGGCGGCATTGCTGCATGAGGGGGAACATGTGGTCCAGGTGGAAAGCCTCTATGGCTAATTGTATGATAGCCACGACCCATCAATGGCGGTCCTGGCAACGGGCCATATATCGGAGCTCCTAAATGCATACCTTGTCGTTGCAATGTAGCCGGATGTATGGGCTTTGGTCTTATCAGAGTGCCCGACAAACTTTGGCTGCTTGAGGATTTCGGTAATTTCTTGTCTTTTTTTTTTTTGTTGCTATCTTTTTTAAGCGGTGGTGGCGGCACGTCGATAGGTTGGCTAATTTGTCGAAGTCGCGCCGGCCTTCCTAAAGTCGAATTGTGTCCTGAGTACATGTCGTAGGGGCTCTCCAATGCTATGCTATCTAATTGATCTTGTGAACCGCTCCACACCTTATGATTTTCATCACCATTGTACAGAGAAGCTTCACCGTCATCTACCGTCACATTTAGATCCGCACTACTGCCATAAACTGAAATCAAAATGGAGAATTAATTAGACAGGAAAAGTGTTACGTAAAATATTAATACAACATTTTTCCGGCTTTTTCTATTCCACCTAAACCGTATATTAAATGAATTTCTCTTTCATGTTTGATAAATTGGTCAACAATTTATTTTTCTTACACTTAATTGTTTAACTACCCTTTATGGATTTTTTATCAAGTCTCTCTTCTTACCGCAATATTTGTTTACTGCGAAATATTTGCTTTGTCTTACAAATGCATGCATAAAGTGTAATGACCTTAATAACAATCCACGATTACTTTGCTGTTATAAGTTAGCTATTAATAATTGTTAAATAAAACAAACAGAAAGGCGTCTGTCTGTTTAAAGCAAAAAAAAAAAAAAAAAAAAAAAAAAAAAGAAGTGAGAAAAAATAAATCCTGAATACCCGCAAATAATAGATGCCAACTCAGCTATTTTTCAAAATTTTGCATATTTCCCATATTCCTCAGTAGTGCAATATGAAATTAAAATCCAAAAGGAAAATTGTATTCCGTCCAGAATCCTAAATTCTTAATCTTTTCCCTATTGTTTGTGTGTATTGTAAGAATCGTTAGCTTCATAGCCATTGAGTAGTGCGTAGTATGGCGAACGACTTGAAAAACTTAGTAAGAGTGGAGATGGTATAATTAAGCAAACATTGTATGCAACTCGAATAAATCTGAACATAACTAATAAGAATAATTATAACGACGTGTGGCAAACGACCACAATAACTGGAAATGCGGAAAAACGAGTATTGCGATCAAAGATTGTATTGTATTTAGAATCATCGCTAACTTGCGTCAATCACCCAACATTGAGTATTTTGCCTATCGTAGTCTTGCGTATCATTTGCGTCGTTCCTCATACAACGTAAAATGCGAACTCTCTCTTGCTTTCAAAGGCATAAAAATTGAAGTTTAGAAGTTGTTGGTATCTTATTTTGCTAACTAGCTGAGAAAATGCTCAGAATTGAAAAATGTCTGAAAAGTGCAAGTATCCAAGGCATGCTGCAAACCGAATATAACTTTTTCATTTGGCTTATATTTCGGATGATAACGAATCATTAAGTAATTATAATAATAACATATACCCAAAAGAAGGAACGAGCAGGAGTTTGTTTATCCAGAAGCAATATTTTCTTGCTCGCGGAAAAATTTTTAGTCATACACTTCTACTTGGTAAATATAGATTGATCCAGAGTGTTTCATTTCCGATCAATTGCAATCTCTTTCAAAACCTTAAATTGTGGTTTTATAGTAATTGACGGCATTTCTATAAGTTTGTTAAATCTAAGAAAAGAAGAGATTACTCAGAGCAGCTGTCGAATTACTTGTGGAATATCAATGAGAGTCTTCTAACCAACCTCTTGGTCAGAGTTTCGGAAGAAGGCGTAACGCAGGTCACCCATTTTGTCGTTTCGAGAGTAAACGGAAATAAAATACAGCTCTGATTGAGATTTGGATCACATTTTTGTTGGGACCATGTCATTATTTATAGAGTACAAGTACCGCGTACAAAAACTTATTATAAAGACGATAAGGCCACAGTTGCGCTTCGTATGTGTGGGATGAAGCTAATATTTGGTAAGAGGACGTCGTAAATAAGCATTATTGTTCCTTTGCTGTAAAAAACACACATACATTTAATGCTCCTGAAGGACTTTTACTTCAATAAACCACAGTTTGTTATTGATCTTATTCGCCAAGATTACTCGTGTTATTGGTGATATAAAAGCACTTTTTGTGGCAAAATGACCAAAATTGATGTTCCAGGAGAGAATTTTTGCGAAAGTCCAAAGATGAAAGAGTCCATGTTGGTATCGTTTACCGTTTGTTAAGAATTGAAAATAAAGCACTTATTTGATGAGTCCCTTCCTGGCTTTAAATCGTACAAACACTGTTAATCGAGCTCTATCTTACATCCGAAAATCGCCCGAACAACTTTGCGGCATTCGATGCTTTGCTTTGTAAAATAACTCTACTAAGTACGCGTCAAAACAGCATATAAAACAACCGCGTAAACAGTTGTCGTGAAAAGGTGGCTCCACGTGAGAAAAACTTGGGTATGTGTATACATCTCTAAATTGATGCCAATGGCGTGCGATTCGACCATCTTTCTCTAAATTCATTTATTAAATACTTAATAAATAATAAGAAAATTTATTAGTAATCAGTGAAGAACTTTTTTTTAATTAAACAAAGCTATTATTTAAATATTGATTGCAGTTTCAAGTTCATTTCAAGTCAGCGCATTATTCGTTCATTATTTCCATCGACATGTAAAAGCTGCTACAACTACAATGGAACTCTTTAAACACGCAATAATACGTTTTCAGCGTTTCTTAATACTCGTACTCGTTGCCTTAGCTAAGTAAATAGTTTTAGAATTCAATTGGTGGGGAGATCGATCATAATGAAGAATGTTCGCAAAAAACGCGTTATGATGCTAAACGTTACTATTATATGTAATGAAAACCAATCAACCAGAATTGTCCGTGTGTTTGCCAATCCAGAGTTCGAGATTGCCATTGGAAGGCTTATTGCCAAAAGAATTTTAAAATAGGAAGCTATAATCAAACTTAGTATTAGTTTGGAAAGTGGTCTCTCTGTTAGATACTCAGAAAAGGACGTTAGCCTTTAATCTATCACTACCTAAAAATTAATGAAAAGTTCAGTGCGAAAGCTGTTTTTCACGGTGAGCTGACGCTTTCGCAATTAAGAGACTACTTTTTGATGGACATGTTCATCAAGCTGACTGTATGCTATCAAAGATTCGTCACAAATCGAACATGTCCTCCTTACTTAATTTTGTGGTTTATTGTGATAATGAACATAAGCACCCTGCAGCTGGTATTGTAGGCGGTTTAAAGAATTTATGAGCCTGTAGAAATCAGATGGCAGGTACCATGATGACCGCTTAGAAATATTTTAGAAACTCTCTAATGCAACTGTAAACTAACGTAGAGGAAGTAAAATGCAGCTCATGCAAGGCAAGCTGCATAGATTTGATCATCGGTGCATGAATGTTCATAAATCGAAGCATTACTTGTAAGAGAAAAAGTTACGTTACATAAGAATTGAATGTTTATATAATTACCGTTTATTGTTGTATTTGTTTTAAAAATAAAATACGAGATGCGTACCATTTGATTTAAGCCGCATTTACTCGTGCGCTCGCAAAATATTTTTGGAAAAACCATCGAATATAATTTTAATTACAATTGTATAACTTTTCTTCGGGAATAAAAGCATTTGAAGAATTCCCAATGAATTCATCTTACGCACGTTTTTAATAGGAAGATTCAGCTTTGGATAAAGCTCACATATGATTATAAGATATGAAGGTAGGGGAGCGAGAATATTTAGAACAACTCAGGAGTTAAATACTAAGATAAAAAATATTCAGCGAGTATTTTTGCGCGTTTGCAAAGGGAATCTGAGATTATTACATAAATACGTTGCCTGTCAAAGTGTTTAAAATGACGGGAACCGTTCTGAATGGACTGCAAAAGTGATAGGAGATAAGTTAAAAAAAAATGAAAATGAGAAGAGAATCGCTATGATTTCGATACGATTTCACGTTCGTGGATATTTTCAGCAGTGCAAAGTCCAATGTAGATATGTATAAAAGGTTTTCAGCTTTGGAAAATCTTTAAAATTTTCTTATAAATGCATTTATTCCGAGCATCTTTCTTCTTTGTTTTTACTTTTCCATAATTAATTTCTTTTATTTTTATAGCCATCGATGAAAGATGAGGGAGGGGGGAGATTCATTTTGCCAGAACGCTTGCAACACCCAGTAGAAGGCTTCTGAGACCCCACGAAGTGTTTATATTGTTGATCGGCATCCAAATTTGGATCGATATAGGCATGTCCGCCTGCGTAATGTCTGCTCTAAAAACTCCTGGCCGCAAAAATTAAGCTATCGACTTAAGATTTAGCAGAATTATTGGACGGCCGTGCACGCAGGTTAGTATTGGAAATATGGTCGATAGGCACGCGCTTAATAACACGCAAACTGAGAACACCTTTATTTTGCAAAACAAATAAAAAATTAGTTTTTTGCTTATTATTCACAAACTTTAAGTGGACAACAATTTGAAAGTGCATTCTATGGACGGTACTGCAGCATGTGCACAAATGTGGAAAAAATTGACTACACGGCTACCCAATATTATTATGTATCAAAATTTAATTTTTTTTGCATAAAGTATATAAATCCTGGGTCAGTTTCAAATTTGGAATGCATCTAGGAATGTCTGTTTGTTCGCCTGTCCGTCTGCCCAATTGCGTAGTAACTGTGGTAAATATTCTCCCGTTCACAAAACTGAAGATATAGTGTAAAAATTTGCAGAAGAATTTGGAAGAGACCTAAGCTTTTCAGAGGACACGCCTACAAAGCCCACGCGCGTATGCGAAAAAAACTTTTATTTTCGGTTAAGACCGAATATAAATTTTTTATTAATTGCTTTTATTTACTTTTATCTTAATATCTTTATTATTTATTTAATTAATATAAGTTTATTAAAGCCATTATTCATAAATACATACAATGTACTTACGAATACTTACACACAGGCATATATACACGTTCTAGTGGACTCTAGGTTAGATAAGGTTTAGAATAATTACGAGACAATAGTTCATCGCATTTAAGTGAGGGTATAATCAGCTAAATGCATTCGAATGCAATCGCGTGATAAGTTGGCGAACGATTAATATGCCTATAAATGTATTTCCAGTCCGCAATGTCCATAAGGAAATTAATTGAAGAAATCTGCGCCATAATAATGTTGTTACGAAACTTATCCCGGCGACGGGAGCACATCGTGGAAAAGCTTTCGAGAATAATAGAAGTGGTATTTAGTTAGTGATCGGCTACCATTGAAGTACAGGATTTAACAAAGATCGGTTATGTTATTGGAGCGGCGAGAGAAATAGATTATCTGATATTGCTGGCTCGATACGTCTCCTTGGACATT